GGTGATGGCGCATGCGTATAGTGTGAATTGAGGTTGGTTTTGGGGATTGAGGTGTGTGAAATGTCCATTTCCAGCTTTGCTTTGGTACTGGTCAATTTGCTGGCTCACTCTATTGTCTGCTGTGTAGACACCCTTTATAGAGCGTATATTATCGATCTTAATTGGAGGGCATTGCTGAAAATTGTGTGCCTTGTTTTGTCTGTGTGATCTTGTTAGGTAATATAGTGGTCTGGTTGCTTTTGAGCATACAAGGGGAGGCATCTTTAATTACGAATTGGCAGTCTCAGTTTGGCGTGAACTTGAGAGATGCATTGTCTGACTAATTTCCGAGTATTCAGCGCGTTTTGAACCGCGCATTCAAAAGTTTCATATGTATCACCATTGTTTAGTTTAGGTAGGTTCATGTCCGAGCTGTATTCGTATTTGCAACTTGAATCGGCTCTTTTTTTGTGCCTATGCTTGGGTAAATGGAACTGCTGAAATGCATGATGTTTTATTCATCATTAAAATCGGCAGACTTCTTCTTTGTCTTCTTCTTTTTCTCTATCTCTTTCTACACACACAATCATCCATGTTCTCCGCGGTGCTTATCCATGAGGATATAATGCCGTAAGGGTTTGTGGGTGGGCGTTTACCTTTTTCAACTGGCAACTAAAGAGAAGGATCCCGTGTTTCATTATATCATTCTTTCTACATTCCACAATGATACATACATAGTGATAGAGCTGGTTGCTATATCAAACATAGTGTCGATTTGTTTATGGATATTGACTGTCTAAGTATTTATTGTTTGCACCCTCTATAGGACAGCTTCAGACCTCTTTGTGTTCCATAGAAGTGTCATGATATACATTTGACTCTCTCTTGGTCAATGGATTTCACTATTATCTATCTATCACGTCTTAATAAGTAGACATTCTGTATGAAACGGTAGGTAAAAATTGGATGCCATCCTATTGGGATCCGATGATAGATTTTTAGTGTCGAATATACTTATTGTTTTTCTTGACACAAATGTTGACTGAAATAGAAAACAGTATATTATGCTCATGGTTCAAAATTTGAAAAGAACTTCTCGTTGATGATAATAGAAACTATTTTACTGATAAAAAATAACGGTGTAATGGGGATGTGATATCCCAAACCGAAGTTGATTACAATCTGAAATTTGAGAATCATCTTCCAGGTACAAATGTCTATATGAACTTAGGTGGGTATATTTTGTGGATAACCACTTTGGAGCTTCAATATTTAGCTTCTGTGCAGATTTGTAAACTATATTTCTTCTGTTGCTCTGCAGTGCCTTCAACCTACCTTTAATTGTTTTTGTTTTCTTTAGAACTGATACTCTCTACAATTGTCAATCATCTCATTTATTTTCTGTATTAGGTCCTAGCAATTGTTTATTCAAAATACAATTCTGATTCATCTATGAGTCTTCTAATTATGCCATTGAGCTAGTGCTGGTGGTACTTGTTCTTTTCGTTTTCTCTAAATGGTTGTTATGGGACCAGTCCCTTTATAAGTAACCTATGTGTCTGTGCAATTGTGTTTCAGTGTTAGTTACTTTAACTAGGGTGTTAGTTTGCTCATTATTTTTTCCCGGTAATGATTTCATTGAACGGCTTTTTATCCAGAGGCCTGTCAGTTCGAGAAGTTGGCAGATACTTGACGGTTACTGGCATTGTTATCTTGTATAGATCTTGGAGATAAGAAGTTTAAGATATGCAATAATTTCACCTAAGTTTATCACCTGAAGTTTGGGTCTTAACCATCTATGCCTGGGAACGAACTTGGAGATAGGGTTCACAATTTCTTTGCACAAGACAATTCGTCGCAAGGGCCGCATCAATCGCATGTTCTGGAAGGTAACTGGCCTGTGCTAAACAGCAATTATTGGGTTGGCAGTCAGAGGCAGATTGATGTACTGAGCTCCAACAATAAAAACTACTCTTCGCAAAATTCCGGTATAGCTTTTGCTTCAGCAGATGTTCAGTTTGAAACATTTATTAATTTCTTTCATACTACAAAAAATTCGTATTCTTTCTGAATTGAAACTGGTTGCTCTTTTGATACTTGTGGTTACATATGCAGAAATTGATAGAGGACAGGCCAACCATCAAGTTCATGTGCCTCATGGCTTGAACTTTTCCCAATCAAATCTGAGACCTGATACTTCTAAGGCTCAGTACGTAATTGAGCAGCAGTATTCAAATGGCATTGCGTATGGAAACCAGTTTCATCTGAATAGGCAGAATGGATCAAACTTTCTGGCAGTGGATTCGAGCTCTAATCAGCGTCAGCTACTATCCTCGAGAGCCTTATCTTTCCCGGAAACACATCAGGGGAGTGGCCATGAACATGAAAAAGCTCCAGACAGGTCGGACACATCTGTAGCTCCTGTAAGTCTTGATCTATTTGGTGGTCAGCATCAGATGAACCATCAACAAGCAAGGATGTTGCAGGCATTACAGCGTCAGCAATCTGGCCTCAATGATATGCAACAAATGCAACAACAAATCATGATGCGGAAAATGCAAGAGTTTCAAATGCAGCAGCAATTTAAACAGCTTGATCATCAAGATCTCACCAATCCGGTTCCGGCCTTTATCAAACAGACATCTGGCAGTCAGACCAATATGGGTAATGACAATTCAAATTCTGATGCTTTTCAGTATCCATGGACAGCTGAGTCTGGTACTAGTTGGCTGAATGGTTCTTCAGCCATGCAAGGGTCCCCCAATGGACTTGCTTTTCCACAAAACATGACCCAGTCACAACGTTTAATGGATTTGGTGCCTCAACAGGCTGATCAGTCTCTTTACGGAGTTCCTGTTTCCTCTTCAAGGGGATTGACAGCGAACCAATATCCTCAGATGGTGACGAGTAGGTCTTTTATGCCACAGATGGAAGCCTTTAGCAATTCTCCTCACGGTAGTCAACATAATCTTTCATCTGATCAAATTAGTGTACAGGAGTCGACTCCCATTTCTAGACCGAAGTTTCAGATTGAAAATACTGTACACGCTTCAAATCAATCACTAAATACAGGGATTAATGATAGGGGACTCCACCAACAATTGAATTCTATGCCAAGAAATGAATCACAACTGCACTTTGCTAGAAAGCAGGATCCACCTGCTCAGTCAGAGACCTCACATGAAAGATCTGCCCGGCAATTTTCTTCATCTCCGAGTGAAGCTGCCCTAGATCCTACAGAAGAGAAGATTTTGTTTGGTTCAGATGATAATATATGGGCTGCCTTCGGGAAGAGCCCTAATATGAGCGGAGACACTACAGGCAAATTATTTGATAATGGTGGGTTATCTAATGGATTTCCGTCCATTCAAAGTGGTAGCTGGAGTGCTCTTATGCAGTCTGCAGTTGCAGAAACTTCTAGCAGCAATGTAGGTCCGCAAGAGGAGTGGAGTGGTTTGAATTTTCTTAGTAATGATGGTTCTTCCGCAAATCAACCCACTTTGATGCACAATGATTACGTAAAGAAAGCGTCTTTGCCCGAAGACGAAATGCGGATCCCTTCAACCCTGAATTCTGGATCAGTTCGTTCATCTGAGGATATAAACACTGGTAATGCTTTGGGATCGAATAGACTTCCGGACAAGTTCCAGCAGGAACCTGGGATGAGAGTGTCGACTGATAGATCTCAAAGATTGAGGCAGTCTTTGGATGGATCTAGCAAGTGGTCTAATCACAATACCCTACAAAAATCAATTGCTGAAGGGGGCCAAATATATGAAAATGCCTCGCAACATTCCCCGGATGTGGAGAGGACTACCAAGAAGGTATCTGCTACTTGGTTCCCTGGGCAGACTGGAACTGTACTAGAACGAAATGGTTGGAATGCTCAGGCAACCGTACCACCTGGGGGTGATGAAGTGAAAAATCATGAAGCTCAATTGCCACAAAAGTCGCAGAACAACCAGTTGATGGTAATGCAAGATGTACAGGAAAAATCTTTATGGAAGTCGAATTCTCCTAGTTCTGCGATCGATTTTGGCCCTGTTAAAGTTGGAAACCACTTAGTGGATAAAGGGCTTCTGAGTTTAAATCATGCTACTGCTTCGGTAACAAGCTCATGCAGCATGGGAGTTTATGATGGAAACAGTTCATTTGTTCCTAATAGTAATTTGCTCAATCAGTGGAAGAGTGCATATCCTCAAGCCAAATTCCAGGGGAGTGACTGCTTGGGGAGCAATCAGGGTTTGGACTTGTCAAATAGAAATAACAAAGATGAAGTTAGAAGACTGGATATGGACAATTTTCCTGTGAAGGAGAATTCTAGTGATAGCCATCTCTCAAACTTATCTCAGCATGCTTCTGGTGGCTTCAGAGAAGCAGGATTCTCCGATGCATGCGACTCAAGGTCTTTGCCCCCTGGGAAACAGAAGTTAACCAATCAGCTTGCTGGTAAAGTTTCTGTTCCTCGCAAGTTTCAGTACCATCCCATGGGAAATTTGGATGAGGATGTGGAACCTACTTTTGGGTTGAAGCAGCCTTTGCAGCCACTGTCCAGCTCCCTGCAGAATAACCATTTTGGTCAGACAAGTCAGGTCTCAAGATATTCTGCTGTAACAGATGAGGTGAATTATGAATTATACTTGGTATCTGCAAAATTTACTATTAACTCTGTAATAACGAAAATTGTTATATTGGCAGGGTGAGTGTCGAAAAGACAATAAGGGGGGGAGTAGCAATGATCCTACCCATGGCAGCTTTCCTGGTAGCGCCTCTAGAGTACCTTTTCCGTTTAACCGCCCCCTTGATTCAAACATGCTGAACAACACCTCGTCACCTAGGTACATATGGTGTGTCATTTTTACCTATTTTGTAGTTTTACCAAGTGGGCAACTTTTTGATTTTTTTTCCTGCGAAATCCAGTCAAAATATGTTGGAGCTCCTTCATAAGGTGGATCAGTCAAGAAGTGATGGTGCTGTGGCTCATTTAGGTTCTTCTGATTGCAACATATCATCTCAGCCACCAGAAACGGAGAAGTCTGATGGGTCTGCTGGCCACATCCAGCATTCTTCCGTTTCCAAAGGTTTTGGATTGCAACTTGGCCCTCCATCACAACGTGTTCATGCTCCTGATCTTTCGTTACCTTCTCAAAATGCTCGGGACATGGTCAATTCCATGCATACTAGTCATGCTGGTGCAGAAATGAGAGACAAGATGCTCCAAGCATCTTCAGTGCAATCTTTGCCTTTTTCTAATAAAGGATCTCAGTATGAAAATGACAGAGCTGCAGGTCCAGGCAACCTTGGGGATGAAAACTCTATGTACAAGTCGCCTCGCAATCCTGGGGATGAAAACTCTATGCACAAGTCGCCTCAACTAGCACTTGACACTCCATATGCAAGAAGTCAACTGCAAAATAAGCATATAATGAGAGGAAGTGGAAAAATGGCTATGGTTGAGCAAATTGATTCCTCTTTCAGTGGTAATACTTCACATTCTTCACAAAGAGGATCTGCAGAGACTGTACAACCTGATGCTTCTCGCAGTATTCAAAAGCTTAATCTTGCATCATACATCACCGGTGCTTCTGATATACAAGGAAGTGGTACTGTTGCAACGACTTCAACCAGGGATCAGATCCACAGTTCTCATCATTTCGGTATGCCCAGAAATTCTCAACCAATTTTGCAGAACATTTGGAACAATAATCCTTCATCTCAACATTCCTTGGGCTCTCTGTACCCAAGGACCTCTTCACACCTTTCAGCACCACACCAGCCAAATATTGTGGAGTCAAGTCATGCTGATCTGCGTGATAGCAAAGGGGACCATCTTTCATCTAGATTAGGTTCAGTTCATGCGAATACTGAAGGTGTAGTTGATGAGGAAGAACGTAGGTTGAAGGAAAGCGCTGGAAAGGTGGCGAACATTGATTCAATACCAAATGCCGGAGAATCTCTGGGCAAAACATCCTCCACCAAGGATAATTTGGAAGAGTTTCCTGTTGATTCTGCTTCAACCCAGAAGGATATTGAAGCCTTCGGTCGATCCCTAAAACCTAATGCCTTCTCTAATAAAAACTATCCATTGCTAAATCAAACGAGTGTCGATAAAGATGCACAGATTGATCCAAGCATTAGGGTCTCGAAGAGGATGAAAGGACCTGATAATATTTTTGATGTTCATCAATTTCATCCCGAAGCAGGGCAGCAAAATGGAGATAATGTTGGAGATATGATTGGTTCAAGTACGCGAGTTTCATCTGAAGATTCTAGGATGTTCAGATTTTCTTCATCACCTGATATGAGGCAGAGGAACACTGCTCCACGCGGAAATATTGCATCACAGGATATTGTGCTTTCTGGTCTCAACGCTACTCAGAATAACCCTTCTTCTGGTTGTACTACTTCTGTGAGGGCTGAGGATCATCAGGTTGCCCCACAGATGGCACCATCCTGGTTCAACCAATATGGGCACTTAAAAAATGGGCAGATATTCTCTGTATATAATGCACATCACGTCACCTCTCTTGAACCAAATGAGCCATCATCTACTGTAGCCAAGTCTTCAAACATTATGGATGCTCCTAGTTTAGAGGAGAATAGTCCTGCCGCTTCAGTTGGTGCTTGTCAAGTTGGTGAGCATCCGGTGATTTTAAGACCCCAAAAGCGCAAGACTGCATCTTCTGAACTTCATCCTTGGCAAAAGGAAATATCAGATGGATCACCAAATTCTTTGGTTCTCAGGTAATTTTTATGACCATTTAATACATATTTTCAATATTCTGCTTCTATTGACATTGAACTGGAAGATATACTGTGTCCTTCAACCCTTTGAGCCTGATACCATCAGAAAGCTTCTTTTTAAGGGCCATTTTTTTTGGTAAAATCAAGTCCACCATGTGTACACTCGGAATTAGCTTCTACCATGGTTTTTCGCAGATAACCCCGAGTCCTGGTTTATGTTATGTTGCAGTTTTGTTTTTTTTTTGTTTTTTTT